TGGGGCTGTCCCTGTGTCCTGAGCATCATCCCAGACACATCCCAGGCTTTTTCCCTGGCTCTCAGTCCTTGTCCTGGGCCTGTTCCTGCCTCCCCAGTTTCATCCTGGGCCTTCTCCCTGTGCCCTGAGCCTTGTCCTGGGCCTGTTCCTGCCTCCAGCCCCTCATCCTGGCTCTGTCCTGAGCCTTGCTGTGGGACTATCCCTGTCCTGTGCCCTGTCCCAGGCCTGATCCTGCCTCCTGTGTTTCATCCTGGGCCTTCTCCCAGTGTCCTGAGCCTTATCCCAGGCTTTCTCCTCACGTCCTGAGCGTTCTTCTGGGCATGTTTCTGCCTCTTGTGTCTCATCCTGGGCCTTCTCTGTGTGCCCTGAGCCCCATCCTGGGGCTGGTCCCTGACTCCTGCCATGTCCCAGGCCTGTTCCTGCTTCCTGGGCCTTCTCCCTGTGCCCTGAGCCTTATCCTGGCCTTTCTCCCCATGTCCTGTGCCTCATCCTGGGACTAGTCCTGGCCTCTTTCCCTGTCCTGTCCTGCCCCCTGGGCCTCATCCTGGCCCTTCTCCCGGTGTCCTGGGCCCCACTCCGAGGCCAATCCCTGCCTCCTGCCCTGTCTGGGCCCGATCCTGCCTCCTGGGCTTTCTCCCTGTGTCCTGGGCCTTCTCCTGGATCTGTTCCTGCTTCCTGTGTTTCATCCTGGGCTTTTTCCCAGTGTCCTGAGCCTTATCCCAGGCTTTCCCCTCATGTCCTGAGCCTTCTCCCGGGCCTTTTCTGTGTGACCTGAGCCTTGTCCTTGGGCTGGTCCCTGACTCTTGCTTTGTCCCAGGCCTGTTTCTGCCTCCTGGGCTTTGTCCCCACCTCCAGCACCTCATCCTGGGACTAGTCCTGGCCTCTTGCCCTGTCCTGTCCTTCCCCCTGGGTCCCATCCTGTCCTTTCTCCTGGTGCCCTGGGCCCCATCCCGAGGCCAATCCCTGCCTCCTCATCCTGCCTCCTGGGTGTCCCGAGCCTTCTCCCAGGCTCTCTCCCAGTGTCCTGAGCCTCGTCCTGTGCCCGTTCCTGCCTCCAGTGTCTCATCCTGAGCCTTCTCCGCGTGTCCCGAGCCCCGTCCCGGGGCTGCTCCCAGGCCCGTAGCTGCCTCCTGGCCCTTCTCCCTGCCTCCCTCCCGCGTCCCATCGCTGCCTCCCGCCCTGTCCCTGTCCCCTCACCAGTAGCGGACGAGGCGGCAGCGCGGGCAGAGCCGCGGGGCCGGGCGGCTCCCGCACAGTTCGCAGCGAGGCCGCCCCGCCATGGCCGGCCCGGTGCCTTCCCCCGTCCGGGAGCGTCCCGCGTTGCCATGGCAGCGCGTCCCACGGGCCGCAAAAATTAAGCTTAGAGTCAGTTTTCCCTTCCAGTTCTCTCCACTAGAAGTCTAAAAGCTGCTTTTGTGTTATGCTACGTACGCATAACATCCCTCTATGGCGTTAATTCCGTGTGTAAGATATGGGAATGTTATTTTTGTATCCTTCAAAAATCCTGAACTTCAAAAATTCCAGTCATTCTAACAACTCTCTACTTGGTTTGACTGTCTACATTTTCCTTTGAGTCTTCATACTACACCCGGATTTTCCTCAAATGTAATTATACTCATTTCTTTGTGCCTTTCTGACACACTATTCCTCTACATCTTATTAATGAAGTATTAATTCTGCCTCTGACAAAGGCAGGGATCACCTACATTTTTATGTCAATTAGTGTTCTGTGACCTTTCATCTGAGACTAGTGATTTCAACAAAGAAATAGAGAAACTATTTCAAAGTACTTGTGGAAGTGAATGAAACAGTTTACAGTGTTTTAGTTAGGAAACTAAGACAACTGTTAGCACCTGCGGAAGAGAGTGATAAAAGCGAAAAAGGAGACGAGACAAGACTGGGTTTAGGCCTTGAACCAGGTCCAGAAGGAAGGAAACCGTGTCAAGAGTAAAACAAGCAATTCAAGGGGGGAAATGGAGTGGGACAGGTGAGGGAATCCTCGAATCTGTAATTAGGAAGTTGTCTAAACTGATGAAACCTATGCGATTCGGGGTGGGTCCTGGGGAATCCTTCCTGACACACCCGGCGCTGCAATAAACGTGTGTGGTTTTTTTGGCTGTATGTCCTCAAAACGAAGTCTGGAAAGAGTCTTCCCCGGCTTTTCGGGGTGAAGTCCGAGAGCGTCAGCGTTGCCAAGGCAACACTTCCGGGGTGAAGGCTGCCGGCGACGGCGTTGCCAAGGCAACACTTCCGGTAATGACAGGAAGGAGAACTATTCACTTCCGGCGGGCGGGTCATGGCGGAACCGGGAAAGGAGAAGGAGGAGAAGGAGGACGCGGAGGACGCGGCGGTGCTGGCGGCCGAGCGCCGGGTGCGGGCGTGGGCGGCGGCGCAGGTGGCGCGCGGGCGGCGCGTGGCGCTGGTGACCTCGGGCGGGACGCAGGTGCCGCTGGAGGCGCGGGCCGTGCGCTTCCTGGAGAACTTCAGCAGCGGGCGGCGCGGGGCAGCCTCGGCCGAGCGGCTCGTGCGGCTCGGCTACGGCGTGTGCTTCCTGCACCGCGCCCGCTCCGTCTTCCCCTGGGCCCGCGCGCTGCCCCCGCACGGCCCCGCGCTGCTGGACGCGCTCCGCCTCACCCCGGGCCCCCCGCCCGGCGTGGCTGCCGCGCCCGCCGCGCTGCCCGCGCTGCTGCCCGCGCTCCGGGACTACCACCGGGCCACCGAAGAGGGAGCGCTGCTCGCCATCGAGTTCACCGGGCTGGCGGAGTATCTGGCGCTGCTGCGCGCCGCGGCCAGGGCGCTGGCACCGCTGGGTACTGCGGGGACGGGGGGGGACACGGGCATGGGGTGGCTTTGGGGTGGGGGGCAGGGGCAGGGCAAGAGACGGCGAGGTCCCCCGTGGGGGTCCCCAGTGTGAAGGGACAGAGGGGGACCGGGCGTGAGGAGATGACGTGGCCCCAGGAGGGTCCCTGGTGTGAAGGGGACATGGGAATGAGGGGATGGGGTGGCTTTGGAATGGGGGGCAGGAGCAGGGCAAGAGAGAGTGAGGTCCTGCCGTGGGGGTCCCCAGTGTGAGAGGACGGGGCAGACACCGGGTTTGAGGGGATGGGGAGGAATCAGGTGAAGTCTGGGTGGGAGGGCATAGGGGGAACCCGGGGGACCCGGCAATGAAGGGATGGAGTGGCCTCGGTGAGGGGCAGGAGCAGGGCAAGAGCAGATGAAATCTCCCATGGGGGTCCCCAGTATGAGGGGATGAGGTGGCCCGGGAGGGTCCCTGATGTGAGGGGATGGGGGGACACAGAGGATGAGGAGGAACCAGATGAAGTCTGGGCAGGAGGGGACATGGGAACCAGGGGGACCCAGGAATGAGGGGATGGGGTGGCCAAGAAGCAGGGCCAGAGAGGGTGAGGCCCCCCATGAGAGTTCCCAGTGTGAGCGGATGGGGTGGCCCTGGAGAGGCCCTGGTGTGAGGGGACAGGGAGGAGCAGGGGGGACCTGGGAACGAGGGGATGGGATGGTCCAGGTGGGGGGCAGGAGAAGGACAAGAGAGGGCAAGGTCCCACATAGGGGTCCCCAGTGTGAGGGGGTAGGGGGGAGCTGGGCAGTACATTGGGTATAAGGGGATGGGTGGAAAACTTGGGGGGAATACCAGGTGGGAAGGGATGGGGTGACCCCAGGAGGGTCTCCCCCACGGTGTGAGGAGACAGGAAAGAACTGGGGGGACCTGGGAATGAGGGGACAGGGTGGCCTTCAGGTGAGGGGGTTGAAGGCAAGAGAGAACGAGGCCCCTGTGGGGCTCCCCAATGTGAGGGATGGAGGAAATGGGGGGACACTGGGTGTGAGGGGATGAGGTGGCCCCAGGAGGGTCCCTGGTGTGAGGGGACGGGGAAGAACTGGGGTGGCCTTGGTGTGGGGGGTGTAAGGCAAGAGAAGGATGAGGCCCCTTTGGGGGTCCCCAGTGTGAGGGGACAGAGTGGCCTCGGGAGGGGGCCCAGGCCTGAGGGGACATGGGCCCCCCATTTTGGGGGACATGGGCATGAGGGGACGTGGTGGTTGTGGGGGCCAGGTGAGGGGGGATGTCCCTGGTGTGAAGGGACAATATGGCCCCCTCAGGGTGGCCCCAGAGCCCAGGTATGAGGTGACAAGGTGGCCCTGTTGACTGTGGGGCTCTGGCATGAATGGACCTCTTATCTGGGGCAAGGCAGACCCCAGTGGGGGATGGTGTGTGTGAGGGACCCCTGTGAGGGGGCAGCGCTGCCCTGCTCAGGGTGGTGCTGGGGGTGCTCTGAGAGGGGCCCTGCTGGCTCTGGGCTCCCTGGGGTGACAGGGCTAGGCCATGGAGGGGTGACAGGGCCAGGCCATGGAGGGGTGACAGGGCCAGGCCATGGAGGGGTGACAGCAGCTCTTTCCCACAGGCTCCAGTGTCATGTTCTACCTGGCAGCCGCCGTGTCCGATTTCTACATTCCGGCCTCTGAGATGCCTGAGCACAAGATCCAGTCCTCAGAGGGGGCCCTGCAGGTGAGGCCCCCCCTCTCTGCCACCCTCCTCTGCCACTCCCTTTTTGCTCCCAGGGTCGTGCCTGGCTGTGGATAAAGCCTGGGAAAGCTGCAAAGCACCGGCTCATGTGTGTTCTCAGAGGGAATGGGAGGGCGAGTTTTTCCACAGGGTTGGAAATGCTGGAGTTGCATTGTTTTGTTCTTATCTTGCACCAAGGGGCCCAGATAAAGGGCAGGGCAGGGTCAGCCCTGCTTTGCTTTGATCCAGGTTTATTTTTAGGATGGCATGAAGGGGGTTGAGTGGCAAACTCCAGCCCCGGCAGTGAGTGGTGCCATGCATTATCCGTGGGTTATCCATGGGTTATCCACAGGGAGGGAGCAGTGTCCAGCACTGCTCTTTCTGGGTGTGAGAGGCAGTAGCTCCAACATATCAGCAGTTGTGCTGTGGAATGTGAAGGGGCACCTGTGAGATGCCTCCTGCTCTTCTGGCTTTGTCCTTTAGAGCTGTCTGTGCTTCCATGGAGACGGGGAGAGGTGGGTCTCAGGGAGCTGAAGTGCTCCAAGAATAGCTCCTGGAGTACTTGAGTTGCTGCCTTCTGGCTGGAGAGAGGCTTTGGACAAGGGCCTGGAGTGACAGGACAAGGGAGAATGCCTTAAACCTAAAAGAGGCTTGATCCAGACTGGGATTTTGGGGAGAAATCCCTCCCTGTGAGAGGGGAGGCACAGGTTGCCCAGAGAAGCTGTGGCTGCCCCATCCCTGGAAGTGTCCAAGGCCAGGTTGGAGCAACCTGGGCTAGTGGAA